TAAATTGGATAGGAGGAAGGGGAGAGGTGAGGGAGAAAGGGGAATGTCCTCGCAAAATTCCGGCAGGTAACCTAACATTCAACTTACCAGACAGTTTGCCCCAATCGGGACGAGGCAGGAAGGAAGTGTAATGGCACGAGCGGGTACTGCACTCTTCTCGTTCCAATTTTGCTTGGAAATACATTATAAGTGAATCAGTACTGGCCGATTGCGTCTGAAACAGACATGTTTGATTCCCTCACATTATTTTCCCTTTACTTTCAAGTTGTTGGAAACAATACAGTGAAGCACGTAATTGCCAAGTCAAAATGTACCATGAGCATTTCGCTTGCTCTGCTGGACCCTGCCTCCATCAGGGAACATTGCAGAATTTACCGCTGGTGATAACTTATTCAGCATTTTGGCAGTTCAGTCAAAAATTTTGAAATAGGGCATTTTTGGCTATTTTCAGCTATCTACGCTCCACAGATATCATCACGAATAGTGGCTGCAAAATGATTGAGGTACTGCAAAATTTCAACATATGAAGTGAGGAAGTAAGCTTGAAAGTAACTGACGCAGATGCAAAGTGTTGACAGGTTTGCGATCAATTTGCAGGTAGGCGTCGTAGACGTAAGTGAAATTGACTCTCGTATCTAATTAGGCGAAAAAATGATTATTGAGCTACACTAGGTTCCATATGAATTGCTGCTGGATGTCGGAGCCGAATGACTATGCATACGCTTCTTCACTTCTAACAAGTTAATAGTACTAGGGAAAAGAAAGGGGAAGGGCACGTGATTATTAACAATTTAGAAGAGCAAATGTAGTGAGCGATGGGTCGAAGAATGCTTGAAAATCTTTTTTTTTTTTTTTTTTTCTTTTTTCTACAGCACTGCGACACTAAAACACAACACTTCAACAGTACAAAACTGCAAGGTTTCACCAACAACACTATTCCACTGCGAAAGAAACGTTCGTGCCCTCGTTCGTAGCCCGTGCGATAGTACTTTTCCCAATAATAATAATTGACTGCCGGTCCGAAGATGCCTTTTTTGCGTAATGGTCCGCAGGTTTTTGTCATTAACGGCGCGGGCTTTTCGTGCAGATGCTTCTAGTTAGACGAGATGAGACTGGCGCCAGAACTGTGAGGAAACATCCTCTTAAAATTCCAGCTTTCTAGCTTTGCTGTTTCCTGAGTCAACAACTTACCCAAGAAAAAACTTTCCCGCGCCTGTAAGTGGGAACCACGCATACTCGGTGTCTGGATTTGAGCTCACTAACACTTACGTGGACAGGGAACATACTCTTAAAATTACAGCCTTCTAGTTCCCCTGGTTCCTAAGTTAGCAACTTGCCTGAAAAAACTTTCCCGGGCCAGTACGTGGGAGCCACGGATACCGGAGAACTGGGTTTGAAATCATCGAGAGCAACGTGGACGGGGAATGCCTCCTTAAAATTTCAGCTTTCTAGCTTTTCTGGTTCCCGAGTTAGCAGCTTGCCTACCAAAAACTTTGGCGAGCTCGTATGTGGGTACTACGCGGGTAGGAGCGTCCATTTTGGGAATGTAAGCTCGTACATGCATGCACATTAATTTTTCGAAGTTTCAACCCTGTAGCTTTTGTAGATTTCAAGTGAAAAATTGGTGCAGACGAACACACAAACACACACACACAGAGACAACCCCTCGTCAATATGCGTTTTTTGCATTGCATAGATGCAAGCAACGCGTAGTAAATAGCAGCGCACGTAAAGGTAGTTGGTGTGATCATGCGCTTTGTGCAACCCTGTCCAGCGAAGACTTGTGCAGTCCTGTTCGGGGGACGTTGCTGTTAAAAGTGTCCACTGCACTACTGCTTGATGTGTACAGAAATTTTTGTAGTTGCCGAATTTGG